TTGCCAGCAGGACGAAAGCGGCCGAGGGCGTGGGCGGGGAGGGCGGCCGGGGGGGGGGGGGTAGGGCAAGGGGCAAGGGACAGGGGGGGAAGAGGCGGTGGAGGAGGGGGGGGGGGGGGGGGCGAAGGCTTGGGTAAGTTATCCTCGTTAATTATCACAATAGGGATAATACTTTTGATGATAATTATTGTAATTATATTAACAAGATCAATGATGATGCTAATCATAATAGCAGTAATACTAATAACGATAACGATTATATAATCATGATAATGATAAGATTATAATGATAAAATAATAATATCATAATAATCATAATAATAATAATCATAATAATCATAATGATAGTAGTAATAATAATGATAATAATTTTCATAATAATAATGATAATGATTTTCATAATAATAATGATAATAATTTTCATAATAATAATGATAATAATTTTCATAATAATAATGATAATAGTAAGATTGATAGTGATTATAACAATGATGATGATAATGATAACAATGATAATAATAATATTGATTATGATAATAAAAATTATAACATTATCATTACTATCATTATCATTATAATCATCAGTATTTTAACATTATCATGATCATTAACATTTTTATTATCATTATTATTATTACTATTATTATGATTATTGCTATTATTGCCATTATTATCATTAGCATCTTTATCATTATTAGTATCATAATCATTCTCATCATTATCATTGTTGTTTGTAATATCATTATCATTATTGCTATCATTATTGTTATTGATATTATTATGATCACTATTATTATTATTATCATTGTTATTATTATTATTATTAGTAGTAGTAGTACTACTACTACTACTATCATTGAGTGTCATAAATAGTAATAATAATAATTATAGTAATAATAACAATAATAAGAGATATAAACACTAGAAAATATAAACCGGAAAATACAATAAAATATGAGAGCAAAAATAAAGGACAAACGTCAATATAAATGATAAAAAGAAAGAAGCGATAAGCAAAGAATGAACGAAAAATAAGAAGTATAACAAAAAAAGAAGAAATGAAAAAAGGCAAAGAATGACGAAGCAAAGAAGCCAAAAGGTTAAAAGATTCGGAAAGAGGAATTGGGAGGAAAGCGAGGACAGTGAGGGTCATAAGAAAGAGGATGATGATGATAATAACAATAGTAATAATAAAAATAATAATGATAATAGAAATAATAATAATGACAATAATGATGGTCATAATGATAATAGTGATAATGATAATGATAATAGAAATGATACTGATAATGATAATGATGATGATAATAGAAATGATACTGATGATGATAATAATAAAGATGATAATGGCAATGATAATAATGACAGAAATAATGACAATAATAAAAAGAGAAAAAAATGATAATGACAATGATAATAATGACAGAAATAATGATAATAAAAAGAGGTTAGGTTGGGTTGGGTTAGGTTGGGTTAGGTTAGGTTAGGTTGGGTTAGGTTAGGTTAGGATAGGTTAGGTTAGGTTACGTTGGGTTAGGTTAGGTTAGGTTGAGTTGGGTTAGGTTGGGTTAGGTTAGGTTAGGTTGGGTTAGGTTAGGTTGGGTTGGGTTGGGTTAGGTTGGGTAGGTTAGGTTAGGTTGGGTTAGGTTGGTTAGTAGGTTAGGTTAGGTTACGTTGGTTAGGTTTAGGTTGGTTGGGTTGGGTTAGGTTTAGGGTTAGGTTTAGTTAGGTTAGGTTTTAGGTTAGGTTAGGTTAGGTTGGGTTAGGTTAGGTTTGGTTAGGTTAGGTTAGGTTAGGTTAGGTTAGGTTAGGTTAGGTTAGGTTAGGTTAGGTTAGGTTAGGGTTAGGTTAGGTTAGGTTAGGTTTTAGGTTAGGTTAGGTTAGGGGTTAGGTTGGGTTAGGTTAGGTTGGTTAGGTTAGGTTAGGTGGGTTAGGGTTAGGTTAGGTTAGGTTAGGTTAGGTTAGGTTAGGTTAGGGTTAGGGTTAGGTTAGGTTAGGTTAGGTAGGTTAGGGTTTAGGTTAGGGTTAGGTTAGGTTAGGTTGGGTTAGGTTAGGTTGGTTAGGTTGGGTTAGGTTAGGTTAGTTGGGTTGGTTAGGTTGGGTTAGTTAGGTTAGGTTTTTGGGTTAGGTTAGGTTAGGTTTAGGTTAGGTTAGGTTAGGTTAGGTTAGGGGGTTTAGGTTTAGGTTTAGGTTAGGTTAGGTTAGGTTGGGTTAGGTTAGGTTGGGTTAGGTTGGGTTGGGTTAGGTTGGGTTAGGTTAGGTTAGGTTAGGTTAGGTTAGGTTAGGTTAGGTTGGGTTAGGTTAGGTTAGGTTAGGTTGGGTTAGGTTAGGTTTAGGTTAGGGTTAGGTTAGGTTTAGGTTAGCTTGGGTTAGGTTGGGTTTAGCTTGGGTTAGGTTTAGGTTAGGTTAGGGTTAGGTTAGTTAGGTTAGGTTAGGTTGGGTTAGGTTAGGTTGGGGTTGGGTTAGGTTGGTTAGGTTAGGTTAGGTTAGGTTTAGGGTTAGGTTAGTTAGGTTAGGTTAGGTTAGGTTAGGTTGGGTTGGTTAGGTTTAGGTTAGGTTTTAGGTTAGGTCTAGGTTGGTTAGGTTAGGGTTAGGTTAGGTTAGGTAGGTTTAGATTGGGTTAGGTTAGGTTAGGTTAGGTAGGTTAGGTTTAGATTGGGTTAGGTTAGGTTAGTTAGGTTAGGTTGTTAGGTTAGGTTGGTTAGGTTAGGTTAGGTTAGGTTAGGTTAGGTTAGAGGTTTGGGTTAGGTTAGGTTAGGTTGGGTTAGGTTAGGTTGGTTAGGTTAGGTTGGGTTTTAGGTTAGGTTAGGGTTAGGTTAGGTTAGGGTTGGGTTAGGTTAGGTTGGTTAGGTTAGGTTAGGTTAGGTTTGGGTTAGGTTAGGTTAGGTTAGGTTAGGTTAGGTTAGGTTAGGGTTAGGTTAGGGGTTGGTTAGGTTGGGTTAGGTTGGTTAGGTTAGGTTAGGTTAGGTTGGTTAGGTTAGGTTAGGTTAGGTTTGGGTTAGGGGTTGGGTTAGTTTTAGGTTAGGTTAGGTTGGGTTAGGTTAGGTTAGGTTAGGTTAGGTTGGGGTTAGGTTAGGTTAGATTAGGTTAGGTTAGGTTAGGTTAGGTTGGGTTAGGTTAGGTTAGGTTTGGGTTNGCAGAGAGGGAGGAGAGGAGAGGCGGAGGGCAGGACTGTTAAGGGGAATGTGAGAGGGAGAGGAAGGGGAGGGAGGGGAGATGATTGAGAGAGAGAGAGAGAGTGAGATGGGGAGGAGGGCAGGGAGGGATGGGAGGGGAGACGAGAGAGACGAAGGGGGCGGGAGAGAGGGAGGGATCGAATAATAATACTGTAACACGCAATGTGAGACAGAAGAGGATGAGGGAGGGATAAGAGAGAGAGAGCAGAGAGACGAGAGAGAGAGATGATTGATGATGAAGCGAATGAGAGAGTCAGACGAGAGAGAGAGAGAGAGAGAGAGAGAGAGAGAGAGAGAGAGAGAAGAAAAGAGAGGAGAGAGAGAGAAAGAAAGAGAGAAAAGATGAAGGAGAGAGAGAGACAAGACATATAGATTAGATAGATTGATAGATAATAGATAGAGAGAGATCGCCAGCTAAGACAACTCGCCATAGATCGAGGGTGCGGTACGGTGACACGTCAATCAGCTTCGACAACGTGGGGATCGGAAACCATTACGAGTGACTTGTCTTGTGCTTCTTTCGTTGTTGTTTATTGTTTTTGTTTATATGGGATTGGATGCCATTGTTTGTTGGATGTTTGTGGTTCTTTTTTTTGTTTCGTTGTCGTTGGTTGATTTATTGTTTTTTATGGATTCGGTACCTTTTCATTGGTTTGTCGATGCTTTATTTTTTGCTGTTGTTGTCTATTGTTTTGTTTGTATAGGGTATTTCGATACTTTAATACTGCTATGGTCGTGTTTTTTTTTTTTTTTGTTGTGTTGTTGTTTTTGTTAATTTTGTTATTTTATGCGACTTTAAACCTTGGCTTGTAGATGCTTCGTTTTTGTTGTTATTGTTTTTAGTGGGATCCCAATACTTTTCATTATTGTTTGTCCATGTTGTTTTTAATTATTGTTGTTTTTTTTTCTTTTTTTTTGTTATTTATTGGAATTGGATTTACCATTATATTTGGCTGTCGATTTGCTTTTTTGTTGTTGTTTTTGTTGTTGGTTTGTTGTTTATTTTTTTTTTATTTTTTATTTATACGTTTTATTATTGGTTTGGCTATCTCTCCATGTTTTGTTTTTAATTATGTTGTTTTTTTTTGATTTTTTTTATGGGATTGATACCGATTATATTTGGCTGTCGATGCTTCGTTTTTTGTTGTGTTGTTGTTTATTGTTTTTTATGGGAATTCGGATACTTTCATTTATGTGGGGTTTGTTCGAAGCTTTATTTTTTGTTGTTGTTGTCTATTGTTTTTTTTTTTTAGGGATTCGATACCTTTTATTACTGGCTTTGTTTTTATTATTGTTTTTTTTTATATGGGATTGGATTCCTTTAAAGCTTGGCTTGTAGATGCTTTCGTTTTTTTGTCGTCCGTTTATTGGTTTTTTTATTTTTTTATATACTCTTTATTATTTGGTTTGTCCCATGTTTTGTTTTTAATTATTGTGTTTTTTTGTTATTTATGGGATTGCGGTACCAGTGTATTCCTTTGTGCTGTCGATTTGCTTCGCTTTGTTGTTTGTTGTTGTTTTAATATTTTGTTTATGGGAATTTCGATACTTTTATGTATTTGGTTTGTCGATGTTTTGTTTTTAATTATTGTTTTTTTTTATTTATGGATGGATACCATTATATTTGGATTTGTTTGATGCTTCGGTTTGTTGTTGTTGTTGTTTATTGTTTTTTTATGGGATTCGATACTTTTCATTATTGGTTTGTCGATCCATTGCTTATATTTTTTTAAAAAATTATTTGTTGTTGTTTTTTATGTATTTATGGGATTGTGATACCATTTATATTTGGCTTGTCGATGCTTTTGTTGTTGTTGTGTTGTT